ATGTGATTTACACGTGGCACGTGGCTGGGGGAGAATAAGTCGTATAAAAGCTGGTTACCTGTGGTGGCTGCCATCTCTGGCTGAGTGCATCTCTGGCTGCTTCCTCCCCTCGGCTCTTGGGAGCCGGAGTGAGGATTATCCAGAACAAATCCTGTTACCAAGCTGCTTCTGTGGCGCAGTCCTGCTGGGCACAGGGATGAATCCCTCCTCACCCCAGCACCCCCGTCAGCAAAGCAGTTGCAGGACAGGAGCGCCCCACGGGACATAAATCACATCGCTGTTTGCAGATGATGTCACGGGTGAAGATCAGGGATTTTTAGGGTTTCTTTGCCAGAAAGTGGCAGTGTTGATTGCCAGGCTTAGTAGTGAAGAATCTGAAGTTGTGATTCATCCCTCAATCCATGTCTGAAGTATGTGGTGGTAAAGCTAGGAAAATCTGTGTATGTATAAAGTGTTTCCTCTTAGGCAGCTGAGAAACCCTTAGGTGCAGCAGTTATTATTTTACTTAATTGGGATTGAAATATCAAACGCTCAGAATGTGCCAGCTCGTGTCTGTTGTGGGGAAACCTCAATTGCTCAATAGAAATGTCTTTTCATCCTGCCACACTGAAGAGAAAATAAGATCAAATCTATTGAAAAGAAAAATTCCTGACATTTTTTTTTTTGGTCATCTGCTCAAACGGTTGTTCAGGCCCACGGAGGTGGCTCGGCACGGGCGGTTCTTGGTGAGGACATACATTAGAGAGGCAGCTCCTGAGGAGTAAAGTGGTTCTTTGGTGATGCTCAGACTTCCGGTATTTAGTCTGATCTTTTACTTTTTAATTACTCCAGCAATTAGCAGTTACAGATTATGCCTTGCCTTTGCTGTTCTGTATGTGCTTCTTGCATGGCATTTGCTGGCCCCGAGGATAAACCAACCTTGTGCAAAAGCGCATGCCGGCACTGAAGAGGCATCAGTATGTGTATGTGAATCATCATCCATGTGGATGCTTGCTCTGAACCTCTGCAGCCGGTGAGACGGTGCCTGGCTCCGAGCAGCTCGTGCTTTGCCCTTGCTGCCCGTGTCCACCTACAGCCGCTTAGTGGCATACAAACGAGGGGCAAAGGCGAGCTGTGCCTGCTGTTTTCCTCCACTTGTTAAATGATTAGGATCAGGCTCGCAGTAGTTGAAGACCGGACAGAGCCCACCGGTGACGCGTGGGGTGTTGGTGCAGTGGGCTCATCGCCAGAGGGATGCTGAGAACGTGAACCCTGTAAACAAGAAATGAAACTCGTTCTGTAGCTGAGCAAGTTAGAGACTGTGCCACAGAGGTAGCGAGGAAGACCCCTGCCTCACGTGAGCTTGGGCGGTCACTTTTCTCACAATTTTGTTTTGTTTTTCTCTGCCATTACTAGCAGCATTTGCTTCGTTCAGAGTTTCAAGCTATATGAACCAGTGTGTAATTCCCATGGAGGGTACGTCACGCTGACACAGAGCTGCCAGACACCTTCTGATTTCAAAGTTGGGAACTGCCATTTACTCATACTGTGTTTTCAGTGTTTCTTGTTTCTGCTGCTGAAAGCACCTACCAACAGAGAAATGGATATTGATGCGAGCAGCGCCTGCTGCAGCGCAGAGCCTGTTGTTCAGCTAATCAGGTGAACGAACGGTCTCACTCCAGATTCCCTGTTAAGAGCTGCTGAAGAACACCGCAGGGTTTTTCCCCCCTTGCTTAACTTAGTGTTACTAAAGAAAATAAGTTTAATCAAGTCCAGACCTTTTTGCAGGAATCGCTGTGCTCTTCTCCCCGCCGTGCTCTCCTTCCCCTCGCAGCGAGCAGAGGGCACCGCTCTGACTCGGCCAGCGCTCACCCGTTGTGTTGGAAGAGCCTTGTTTGCTTGGTGGGGTTCAAAGATCCCGCAGTGGCTGTCCGAAGAAAAGAGAAAAATCCCAGTGGTCTGGCTGCCATCCCTCCGCTCTCCTGCCTGTCGCAGCCCGTCCAAGCCCGATTTCTGCTCAGGTATGAGCTCTTTTCCATTCTGTTTACGCTCCACTTAACCAAAAGAGGTTGGAGCCAGATGATTTTTCTGCAGAGGATATAATTTCATTGGAGAGAAGCAGGAATTTGTAAAACAATCCATGGGATTAGTAGCACCTCGGCTCCTGCAGGATCTCCCCACCCCCTTCTCGAGTCTTATTTCTGTTCTTTGAAAGCTGAAATTTCCATTGCTGTTGATGCTCTGCCAGGCACTCTAGCAGGGTTACTTTCCCTTGGATGCAGTTCAAGAAACCATCGTTCCTTTTCTCTATCGTTCGTCATCAAAGGGCGAGGAGCACCTTCCCTGCACTGCCCTGCTGCCTCCAGCGCTGGCAAGAGTAGATGGCCGTGGCTGCTCTTCAGACCCACCATGCTAGAAATGTGAATTAGAAAAGCTTTTGGTGGTAGGAAGCTGAAGCATTTGTGTCCTCAAGAAAATATACTTTAACATTTAAAAAAACCCAAACCAAAATCTGTTGAGGGTACCGGCAGAGGTCTTGGTTAAAGCCCTCATCCACCAAAGCAGTGATCTGAAGGTGAAAGGCTCATCTTTGTCATGTGCTTTACGTTTGTACATTTAGGCGGGAGTGGCCTAAGGACTTTTGAGAGACTCGTAGCATGACATTTTTATTTTAGTAAAGACTGCTGAAGTCAGAGGTTATAGGTAAAAAAAAATCTTGGGGCAAGGGCAGCTTCAAAGTGGGGGTGGTTTGGGGTCTGCCCAGGCTGGAGCCCGCGGCAGGTCTTGCCTTTGCCGGCCATTGTGCTCTGCCGGGTACCGTAGCACAGGATGGAGTTACCAAGGAGGGCTAGACGGGAGAGGAAACCCACCCTCCTGCTTCCCCCAGCTATGCCCTCTGCTCGGGCGCAGTCTGCTTCCTCTGGCACTGGGGATGTGTTCCAGTTTTATCGTATCTTCCTTGCTTTTAGGGTTCAGGCTAACTCTTTCACATAATCGTAGTGTGTAGATCAAAAAAAAATAGTTTGTTAGAACTAAAAAAAAAAAAAAGAAGAGAAAATATGTTGAGGAAGGAAAAGAAAGCCCAAGCATAGCTTTCTGCTGCTTGTAGGAGGAGCTGGCTACAGGACAGACTGTATTCTCATTGCTTCTCCATGCATGTCAGTGTGATATCTTTAATCTTGGTGATGTGTATCATTTAAGTAGACTGTTGGGTGCACTGGTGTGTGTCTGCTTCCTATACGTCCACCTGATTTACCTGACCTCTCCTTATCCTCTGCCTTGGTTGTCATAATGAAACTACAACACGTTTTAGGGTTTTTGGGGGAAAACCCATTTTCCTAGAGAGAATATAGAGGTTTGCTGGATTTTCAGAGAAAATATATGAGCTTTACTGACAGGACAACCGGCCGAGCAAGTTAGTGGTGGATTTGAGATGTTAGCTTTGTGGCTTTTGTCTACCAGAGCCTGAGCAGTATTTGATGTGCAGACATGCTTTCAGACATTTCTCATAGAGAAGGTGTTGGCAGGTCTGTTGTTAACACCCTTGCCTTTAGGCCAAACTATTGAAAATTCAAGTTCAGCTTGAATCTCATTTCAATGGCTTGGAAGGCTGCAATCTGATGGGCTGAAAAATCTCGTCCAACTCCAGGCCTTATTAGGAGCTTAATCTGAAGTGCAGCCAAAGCCGAATAAGGGGGAGGGCAAAAAAAAAAGCAGTAAAATGGAACAAGAAATGTGCATCCAATTTACAGTATTCCTCTGCAAGCTTAGTTCAGCCCCCTGTATGCATTACGATGCAGTTTCTAATACGGGATCACATATGGTTTTTTTCCATGGCACCCCTGCCCTCGCTGCTCAGGGAGGGCAGTCGAGGCGGCCCAGTGAAGGATGGGGGTGCGTGTGTAGGACCTCTGCCCTTGCACGGTGCAGGATTTGGAGGGCAGGGAGTGAGGCAAGTCATGGAAAAATAGCAAGGGTAAAGCGATGGTTAAGGAGATGGGATTCCTGCTCTGCTTCTGCCTCAGGGCTCGTGTATGGCACTGGGTAAATTGCTTTTCATGCACAGTGAGGGACTTGATTTGCTGGGTCCCCAGGCTGAGGGTTGAGTTGCAGAAGTGCCGAGTGCTCCTGCTGCAGATGATCTCATGGGAAGTTGTATGTCAAACATTTAAAATGCCGCTCGGTGCTATTTATTTTTTAAAAAGGGAGCTGTAGGCTGATTCTGGAACTGGATGCCCAGAGCTTCTCTGTACCTCTTTTCTTCAGCTATAAACTGGAGGTGTTGTGAACATAGTTCTCTAGGATTTTATGAAAATAAATTCATAATCGTTTGAGAAGTATCCCAGTCTGCAGTGGCAAGACGCCTTCATTTTTGCCTTGGAGCAGCACATGAAAAGTGTGAAGTGAAGAGGGCTGAGTGCCGTGCATGAACAACCAGTCGAAAACCAAAACTGAATAATTCCTCGCTTATTGAGCATCTTCTATTCTCCGTACTAACTGCGTCAGGACTGCATGCACATGTGGTATGTGGCCATGCTGTAAAGACCCTACGCAAGTGGACCAGATCAAAGCCACAGAGAAAACTAATTTCCAGCACATCCTAGCTTTTTAGGGCTTGGCAACTGTAATATTTTCTTAATGCAGCCCTTCAGATGTAATATGGTATAAATTACAGGACTGGGCGAGTAAGAATTTGTGTGCAGAGGCAACAGGCATCGCTCTGTAGCAAACCTTACAGGGAGGAAGTCGAATGTCTTGGTCCTGAAGGTGGTAATTTGTTTGCATTTCTGTCTTGTTCCAGAAAGTGGGAGGTTTTTGGATCATCCAGGAAGGACCTTGTGTGTAGTTTAGGCTGCTAATGCCAGATGTCTGCTTTTGGCTTATCTGAACGTGGGTTTCGTTTGATCTTTAGGTTGGACCACTGTTGTGTGTTGGAGCCTCGCTTGCAGAATAGCTCCTGTGTCCATCAAAGAAAGAGGTTGAGGAAGTTATTTTTTCTGTGGTTTTATGGAACTCTATACCATCGTCTGTCGCTAAGGAAGATGTGACGCACGATGGCTTTGCAACTATGCAGCTTGATGGAGAGGCGCATAGCTGCGGATGCTGTCACAGGGATGCTCCAGCAAGAGGTTTGTGAAGTCGAGAGGCAGCTAGCGTCCCTCTCCCTTCTCCAGTATCCTTTGGACTTTGTTCCAGCTTATCTCCTTCCCCTCAAAATGCGGACTGGGAGCTGCAAAGCTCTTCGCAGGAGGAGCAGCATGTTTCGTACCAGCCTGGCAAGAAAAGCCCCATCAGCCGTGCCGTCGGGAGTCAGGGCTGCGCTCAGCCTGCTCCTCCAGGGCTCTGCAAGGTTTCGAACACAGCTCGCTTAAATCAGCAGATGTTGTCAGGCATGCACAGGCAAAACCTTGCTCTAATTCACTAATTATAAAAATTCCTGGCAGAAGCTCCGTGTGAGTCAGCTACAAAAAAATTACTTAGGAAAAAAATAAGTTTATGGTATAAGGCTGACTTTAGCACACAAGAAGAAAGGAAGCTGGGGCTTTCTGTAAATCAAGTTGGTCATCCAGCTTTAGCCCACCGTGTCCTTGTCTGGAGAGAGCGGCGAGGGGAGAAGCGGAGTGGTGAAAGCCCAGGGGCTTGTCCCGCTCTGCCCGCAGCTCTCTGAAGCTGGTGGTGTGGCAAGGGGTGGATGGAGAGTTTCCTTTCCACTGCCACAGGAGAGCCGGTGCCCAGCCCGGGAGCTGGCGTGGCTCTGGCTTGTGAATCAGGGCAAGGCAGCCCCTTCCCTGCCAGCCCTGAGGATGGGAGGAGGCTGCTCCTGCCTGCTCGGGGTTCATGTTTGCCTTTCACCTCGCTGCACACACCGACTGGCACGGGGAACCGAGGAAACCGTGGATCCGGACAGGTCTTGAATTATCTGCAAAGGGTGTTCGCAGCGCTGTCTCCTGGAGAAGCTGCCTTTTTTTTTTCCTTTGTAAACATTATATTTTATTTTGTTTTTGTTAAAAAGCCCACATAAATAATTTCCCTTGGAATCTTTTGCAGGCGTCTGCTCTGAGTGTGTTTTGGCCTCACTGCCCAGTGCTGGTTTTGAATCCCAGTCCCAGTGGTGGGAAGTTTTTAGAATTAATGCCAGTTGTATTTTTTTTAATGGAATCACAGTGTCCGCCTGTGGGTTTTAAACAAATATCCTTGGCTTTATGTTTTGCCTGCAAGTAGCCAGTATCCAAAGGGTGTGTAGCCAACAACAGTGATTCGGCAAGGGTGCAGCATTTCCCCTTTGTCAAAAATGACTTTTTATTTCTTTTTGTAACCTAGCGTGCACCTTCCCGACCCTGCTGCTGTAGCTAGCTGTTCTGATCCACTGCAGCAGCAGGATACGTGCCTTTGCGTGGGGCTGTGGTGCAGGCTCCCAAGGGAGGTGTGTGGAAGCCCCATCAGTGAGTAATTTAAAATTGCACCTGGGGAATATGGAGTAGGAAACAATCCTACCTAGTGCCTCTGGGAATGGATGCGTCTTTACAGGGTTGACTTTTCAGCTGGGCAAAACTTATTGCTTGCACTTAGCACGTACTTGCGCGGAATTTTCTGCCTCCCCCGGCTCCCTTTTCACTTTTGAACCTGGCTTTAAGATGTGGCTCCCAAAGCAGAAGAGAATTTTTCAGGATGTAGCACCATCCTTTTGATCCCAACCTTCCCTTTATTTCCTTTCCAGGATGTCTTTTGTAATACAACCTCACTGTCCTTCCTCTGCTGCCGCTCTCCCTTGCCGACCTGCCGGTGCAGGTTTCTGGCAGGAAGGTGAGCATCTGTGCACCACTGCTCTACCGCCGAGGTGTGCCCCACGGGTGCTGGCATCCCTCCCTTCGACGAAACACCGAGCACAGCCTCTCCAAACTGCGCTGTCTCGCCCAGGAGCAGCTGGGAGCCAGGAGGGCTGTTTTCTCAGGAAAAAACAGCTTTGCTGGGGTGGGCAGCATGCTGTGGTCAGCCCCCCACAGCCACACGTGTGTGTTACAGTGAGTCTGTTGTTCAAGTGCTTCTCAGCGTTTCCAATACGAAAACTAGTTTTGGCAGCACTAAGTTGTCTGCAAAGTTGCTGTTGTTTGGGTTTGTTTTTTTTTTTTAATACACTGTTCTCCAAGGAGCTTTTAAGAACACGCAACTCCCCGGTGTCTCCAGTGCAGCAGTGACGACTGTAGCTCTCGTCAGCTGTACTTTTTATAGTCCTTTTCCCTTTGGTCAGCAGTTTTTATAGTTCTTTTCCCTTTGATGTTGGTAACTGTCAGCAAAGAAGTTTGAAGCTGGTCTGATAGGTAATAGCTGATAGATAATGTAAAGTATTAGTAAAGAAATGAGAAGCGAGCAGAAGACCGTGCGGTGGTGGTACCAGCAGGAACATCCAGTGAAAGCAGTTGATTTTAGTGTTGAGGAAGGTCAGTATAAACATGCCTTTCACCTGGGATGGGAGAGGGAGGCAGAAATCCTGAAAACAGGTTTGTATCTGCATGAAGCTTCTGTACCTGAAGAGCCATCTATATCCTAGAAGAGACTTTTATTTATTCCTTGGAATCTGAAGTTTGGAGAGCGTGTGTTGGCCATGCAAACTCTCAGCCTTGCCATAAATCTGTGTTTTGGCAGTGCTTGTCCAAATGCCATATTATCCAGATAGGAATAGATAGGGGATTAAAGCGGAATCCTTTGCTATTTATGGACTCCCTTGGGGAATACGTTGTAATATTCTTTTGAATCAACTAAAAGGTAACCACAACAACCCAATGCTGCACATGCTAAATCTTCCCTGTGGCCCTCCTGTAGACCTGCAGAGGGGAAAGGGGGGATGCGGTGAGATATTTCAGCTTGCAGATCTGAAATAGCATTGTTCGCGCTTTAACGATCCGCCACCTGCTGATTCCCTGGGATTCAGAACAGAATGTGGGACACGTGCTTATTTTTTTTCATAAATGGGCTGGGTTTGGAGCTTTAAATCTCTCCTTTCGTAAGCAAGTGCAGACTTGGAAAGTATTAATTATTTTGTACTATCTGTAAAAGCATCTTTCTGTAGAAGTTGTTAAGTCTTTCCCTCTCACTTCGTAACTATCTTTACAAACTCAGGTCCTGCGTATCTGGGTATCCCTGTTGGCGCAGGAGTGGAGAAGCAGGCTGGGTGCCAGCGTGCCAGACGGAGTCTGGAAGCGTTCAGTGGAGCTGCTGGCTCAGACCATCCTGATGCCCTTCAGCAAACTGAGCAGCAAGAACTTATCCAAGAAGGGCTTTTCTCCTCTTTTTGAAATTGCCAGTAATCCAAAGTGCCGCATATGTGTGCACAGGGTTTAACCTTCCCGTCTCCAGCTCTGCCCAGTGGAGAGAGGAGGTCCTCAGCCCTCCTGGAGAAAACACAGAAGACCCAGTCCAGCTGTGTTTGAGTTTTATGCTGCTGTATGTTGGGGCACTGTAGAAGGGTCTGTGCAGGTGGACCTCTTCCCTCAGCTGCGTCCTGGAGAGCAGTACCACCAAGGACCGGGCACCTGGACCCTCAGACACCCCTTCGTTTGCCCACCGCCTTGCAAAACCACGTGCATGGTTTATAATGTGCAGAGCAAATACTATGAACTTCATAAATTGAAGACAATCAAAGTTTTTGTGTGAGGGTGCAGCTTTACAGACCAGCTGTCTCCAGTTTGATTTCTCCAGGCTTGGGAATTTACTGGGTTTGGGTGTTCATTCCAGCTGCCCAGCCCCAGGGGCGTGCGTCTGCAAGGGGGCCAGGGCGTGCTCCTTGCCCGCTTCGTGGTGGGGGAGAGTAACGCAGACTATGAAACGTCGGTTTCTCTTCCAAAACTCACTTGCTTTTTATTCAGGAGCAGCAGGTTTGTTCTTGGGGGGAGGAGCACACCTCGCTTCCCGCATCACCTTCGTGCAGGGCTTAATGCAGCCTGTTTTTGTACGTGCTCGCTGAGAAACGGCAAAAATCAGGAGCAAGTGCAGGACCAGCGCTTTCTTTCTCCTTTACCTGCCTGTTTGACTGGATAGTATGCGTGGCCTTGCCTTGCTGTTTACCTTAGGGTTTGTTATGACAATGAAGATGGATTTTTCCTGGCTCTTGCACGAGCAGTATGTAAACCAACATGATGCAGTACGCGGTCAGCACGTGTCCTGCCACGGCCTGGGAACTCGGGCTGTTCTTTGGTGCGCCCATTGACATCAACTTGTTGCTCGGTGTCTGCATTGCACCTCTGCGACTGGGAAGCACGTCTCTTCTCATGCTTGCAGGCACTTGCGCTGCTCACCAACACACAGGGACTAGTTTCAAATTGCTTTTTCTGGAAATAGGAGCATTTGGGAGAAGGGATACTTTTGAGGTATCTCTGTCTTCACCTGTGGACCTGGTGAATTCTTGGAAACCATGGGGAGGGAGTCTGAGCCTGTATTTCCCACCTAGGGAATTGTTTTTTTTTTTTCCCCCGTGCCTCATAATTCCTGGGTGATTTCTGTAATTTATCAATGCTAGCTTGTCAGCAGAGACTTGGAATAAAAAGCTTTGTAGTGTGCTGCTTAGCTGGCTGTATAAACATGAAAGTACCAGGTTTTTAACTAGCTTGCTCACATGGCTTTCCTCTGCAAAGGTTTAGCCAAAACACTCCGCTAGATAAAAGGGATGCTGAGAAAGTCCAGGTCAGCCGGAGATTGTCTGAGAAGGGGTATAACATTGATCTTTGTTTAGTTTTACTTTTATTTCTTGTAACTCCTCAGTAAGAGCAGGGAACGAGGATAAATTGTTTTCATCTCTTGGTGGTCAAAGATTAAGATGGATGAGGCAGTGGGCTGCCTGGAAGAAGCTGTTAAGTAAGAGCCTGGCTGTGTCCCCCCTCTCTTGCCTCTTGGATTAACTTGGCTTCATGCTTCCCAGGCGCCCTTCCCCACGCTCCACCTTAAATATCTGGTGAGTGATTGCCTTGAGTTTTCTGAGCTCTTTGAACTAGAATAAATGAGAAGGGCTCTGGGGATGAGGCCTCTCATCGGTCACTTGCCTTTCACCTCAGAGGGCAGGGGTTTGCATCAGGTGTGGCATTAAATGCACAGGGTTTG